GCTGATCAGGGATCCGTAGGGATCCTATCTGGGCGCTCCTGTACAACAGTTCTGAAGGCAAACAACCTGCAGCACGGATTCTTGAAGAAACACTCCCAAAACCAACATCCAAGACCTCTTGAAGCCAGGTGTTCTCTGAAGAACCGGTTTTTGAGCAGGAAGGCATCTCAAACGTCAAGCTGGAAGCAGACTTGCTTGTTGTTTCATGCAATCTGCGAGGAAAGCCATGCTTTTTGAGCACTCAGAATGGCAAGAACATGCGCCTTGATGGCACAAATGACCTCCGCCGGTTGCATGTCGACCACCTTGGTCGAGCAGGCACATCGGTGATGCTGTGAAGCTCTGTGCTGAAGTCCAGAGATCCCACCAGCTGTGGACCCACCTGTATCCTCTGAAGGTACTCTTGGACCTTCCAATTCCAGCTGAAACACCGGCAAACACTGAACCTCAGAGGGTATGCAAAGAGCAGCTACAAGACTCCTTGTGATCCTACAGTACATTGGCTGACAGGAACTCTGTCCGCCACAAGCAGGAGAGCCACCTTCTAGGCCTAGACTAAACATCAGAATATGTCGATCCACCCCACCTATGTGGAGGAAGTGCCTGGGAACCGCCAGGGCCTTCACCTTCACCATGTCTTGACTACCAGTAGGTGATGTTTAAACTTTAAACTTTAAACTGTGCCACTAATACAGCATACATCAGGTCACCAGAAATAACTATTATATATATAACTGCTAGAGTAGTAGGTTTGTGTGGGGGGTTGAGATTTGCATTCTCAATACAAGCCGTTCCATCTATGTGCCATATTATAACACAGTGCATCCTGATCCTGTGGGAATTTCCGCTTGATGAACACTGTTCTCCTGAACCAGTGAAGCCTCTTGTCGCCGCGGTAGCTGATCCAATTTCTATATAAATACAGATAAGCTAGTAAGCTATAGACGAGGTACTTGGTGATAGTCACTGGTCACCCCAAGGTTCAGTCGGTCAACGACACCAGATTTCATGCAACGACACCAGACTCTTCGAATCATCCTTCACTCCTGAAAAACATCACCGAGCTCAGATTCCAGCCCGATAGCTCTTGAAGAAGTCCTTCATGAGAACCTGGCAGTCACTCAAAGGCTTCGCTCGGCGAGGTGCACCAAGGATAAGACCCCAGCTGGCGACGAAAAACTGATACTGTAGTTAGCATTGCAAATCAATGCCACACAGTGGGTTGAAGGAATGCAGGGTGGGTGTGTGTGTGTGTGACCTGCGCAAATTGTCACAATCTAGCCAACAAGTGGCATCTATTTTTAGATGCAGCCTTTGGATGGCGTTTGGGTATAGGATCGCTGGAGCCAGTATCATGAAGCTCAGTATCCTAAACTCCAAAGACAAAACCTAAAGGCCCTCGATGAAGTTCATCCTCTGACTACCCTTGATTGCAAAACATTAGAAAAGCCCTAGACCAGATGCTAGCCCGGCGGTGGGAGATGAAATGTCTTGAAAGCGTGCATATGCCAAATTTGGTTGAGTGTAGTAAGTGGCAAGTAAGGTCTACAATCTACACAGATCCTCAGGTCAAGAACCCAAGCTTGCATGGTGCAGGTGGTTTCCTTATCTGACCCTTGCCTCCCGGACCTAGACTTCTGGACGTATCCCGGCTGACTGAGACCCGCCTCTCGAGGTGCTTGGTTAGCAGATGCCAAAATCAAAGATGCATCTAGGGCCATAAGTACCTTGACACCAGCAAGCCAGCATGTACACCCTACCCTTACTTTTTGTTGGCCAGCACCCTCAGGATCAGTTTCCAAGATTGCGGACACAAAAATCTGGTGAACAGTTTAGACTTTAGACTAAGTTTAAAAAAAGGACTGGTCAATAGGATCTGCTCCCACAAAGGTAAGTGGAGGTTCACTGAAGAGTACGGTTAATATACAGTTGAGGAAGATTTAGGAAGCAAGAATTGGCCCTTCATTCACACATGTTCGGGTCACAATGTGGGTGTCATGTTCTTTGTCTGTTCAGTTCACGTCGTTTTGTAGCATAGTTGCTGTACCGGCTGGTCTCGCCCGCTTTAGAGCTTAAAGAAACAAGAATTGTCTAACATGCTTGCATTTGCTGTTTTTGGACGTTGATGTTTGATGACGGTATGTATTCTCTTCACGACGAGTATATAACTGTTGTCCATGGGGAGAGGTTTGGTGTCCACATCCACTATCGAATTGCTGCAAGCCAACCATCCTGATGTTTTTGAATACGACCACAACGGTAAGCGTTCAAGAAACCAAATCTGGAGATGTCTGTTGGGCGCATGGCCAAAGACTGGCTTTGCCTTTTGAATACCAACAGCCTGGGCCTGAACTGACTCAGATACCTTCTCTATCCCTGCGGCATTGTTCCGTCCTTTTTCATTGGTGCTTTGGCTTAGGGTTGCGATTCAATGTGCAGTCTCTCTGGATTTCCCCTTGGATCCATGGATCAAGATTGGAAATCCTCACCCTTCGCCCTTCACGTCCCTTCACCGTCCATGTTCACGAAACCAATCGGATATGTTGAGACGTGAAAAGGATCAAAAGTGCAGTGCCTTACTAGTAGTAACAAGAAGCTACTAGGAACAAGTGCCACGCTACTAGTAACAAGTGCATCGCTAGTAGTAACAAGTGCCACGCTAGTAGTAACAGGTGCCTTACTACTAATTACAAGAAGCTAGTAGTAACAAGTGCATGCTCCACTCCCGGGCACATGGACTCCGCAGGACTGCCCGCAGGACTCGCAGGACTCTGCGCAAGCGCGTGGCGCACAGGGTTCATGTCGGAGATGGGGCTTGCAGTCGCGATGTTCCCAGCAAGAACCGCAACCTCGAAGCAAAGCGAAAGGGAAACAGCACCCGGTGAACTCGCCAAATTGGATGTCTTTTTGGTAATTTGGAGACCACCCAACCAATGGTTGTAGTCTAGTTGTAGTATACAGTCTATTCGTCCCTTTTCCTTTTGCCAGGGGCCTCTGGAAGTCTCCCTATTATTCTATGCATAGGCATAGTCTACAGTCTACAGTGTGTCTACAGAGTCTGCTGTATCATTAACGGAAATCATTGAAAGTCTATTTGATAGCTAATTACAAATATAGCATAGCAATCAATGCGCTTACTAAGAGCAAATGTGCAAGGATTCCAACGTTTCTCGTATGTGCCTGTTACCTACAAGGGCCCGGGTTCATTTGACACTGCCCAAGTAAACTTAACGAGCACAGCCGTGGTCACCATATGTCACCATCACTGGCTCACAAGCATGAAGAGTTGCAAAGCAACATCAGTTGTCTGACACTTACCTCACAGCGCCAGTTGTTGCTTGAGAGTTGCAAAGACATAGTCGAACAAAAATGCTAAAACCCTCTTCCTAGACCTCCAACAAGTCCTTTAAAGGCCAGAGATGCTCAGAATCCATCTCAGGTTCACCAACGTCCTGCAACTGATCGAGGAAAGCCCAAAACAGGGCTCCACGCATTTCGGATCTGGGTGCTTGCGAACCATCGGAGCATCTCAAGCATGGCCTGCGACCCAATCCAGGTAGAGTAATTAGCTTGGCTGTGTACGTCAGTGGTGCGTTCTAGCCAAAGTTCCTATTTAGTGGGAAAGAAAATTAACATTCGCTTGTTAGGGAACCTCCCAATTCGAGGCCATCTCACATACTTACCACATATTTTCCTCCGCACAAACTTTTGGTGGTCTTCAATCAAAGGTTTCGTTCTAGAAGGTTGAACCAAACAATTACAAACCATTACAACAATTAGGTTGAGACTTGCCAAACCTGCAAGTGGACTATGGATTGTCATCCTCTGCTTTTATACTATGTGGGGTGCCTTTCCGTAATTACTATAAAAAAGAATGTGGGAGGAACTGCTGCATATATCATTGTATAATATATATATATGTATGTACGCAAAATAAAAGTAAAGCATGCGCCCTTTGGCATTCTTTTGGTATGATTACCAGTTGAGTTGGCTGTCCGGCAAAACCCTGTTCCAATGGTCCGCAAATACTGCCAGTGGCAAGCGCGAGACGAGCAAATGTTCATCCAATACCAAATGGCCCCGTAAACAGATTCACTAGCCCCGTCTGCCCACAGGTCTTGCAGGGTTTGAGGGTGAGCATGGGAACATCTTTTTGGACACACATGCGATCACTCAGCCGGATGGGCTTCTGAACGTGGAAATGCCCTACGAAGTCATAGGCATTGCCCTCATCCACCAGTCACCAAGCAGCTTTGATGCATTAAGCAGTCTTTGGCACCTAGCTGTCTTTGGTGACCTCTGACAGACTCTGACTCGTTTAGTGTTTAAGAAATGCAGTCATCAATAAGCTAGCTGTGCATTGTGTCTGTGACACACACACACATACCAAAGACAAATCCTGTTCTTGTTTGCTAATTGGATGATCAGGCAACTCAGTGTGTTGCACATACTCGCGCCAAGATGATCCCCTGAAAATTGGTGTAGGTTGTATGCACCCCGTTTAGATCACTAAGCTTCCAAGCAAGGACCCTCTTAACCTCTTCCGAAGCCAAACATATTCATCCAGTTTATACTGGGTTTTGACTCAGGCCCAAACATGAAACTCCAAGCAGTCATCTCATCTTCATATCATTCGTGGAGTACAGTAGTCGTCCTGATCATTGTGGATTTTTCTGGAGAGGAGAACCCGTAGTAGATTTCTGCCAAAAATGGCTCCAAGCAGTACTCAGTAGAATAATCTGAATAACCCTATATGTTACATACAGTCTTTCTACGCTACAGAGCCTTTGGGGATCTATCGTGCGGTTTTCTCCCCCTGAAAAGAAACATCATACTATACTCACATACATTAACTTCTAAGCCCACCTGTGAGTTGCTTGGGGACGTGTTCAGGCTACGCTGACCTTCCTGCACCTGACCATTTATTGCATTATCGGATTGATATGGCTGATCGACTGATCATCCAGTCACTCTTCAGCGAAGAGTGTGTTCTGAGGTCATTAGCCCCAAAGGACGGCATCCGTGATGTCATTCCCCAGGACATTGTGGGGATCGAGCTCCTTCTTCAATCCAGCAAACTCCTTCACATCGAACCTGAACTGGGCTTTGCCAGCGGCACAAGGAGTGTAGCTCGACGATATAGGGATCCGGGAAGAACTTGACCTACAGTACATGTTTTAGTCTTTTGATGTCTTTTGGGTCTGGAATGCGAAGAAACTGTTCTCCTTGAAACATAGAGGTAGCGGAATGTGAAGGTTCTGGTTGGCCCTGTGAGAGGCGGATTTCGTCTATTCTCGGCCAGAGAAGATTCCAGGGGGTGAACCACGGTACCGCCGGACGCCAACATTGCCCACATCAAACGGCTATTTTATCAGGGAGGCTTTTGCTCTGTCCCGATTCCCATATTTCAATTGCTACCTTACCCCTGTGACTTTGGTCGTGTAAACAAAGTTGGATGTGGATGCGTGCCATCTGGATGCATTGGCATGGCAAACAGCTTGACCAGTTCCCTTTACAATCTGCCCTGCAAACCTGAGGACTAATTCTTGGTCAGGATCATGTTCCGATGGTCCTACTCTGAAATCCTCTTCCAACATTCTGTTCCGAACCAGTCCATGCAGTCTAGGCAAACCGGGTGGAAGGAAGCGCCGCCCGGATGCAGCATAGGACCAACTAAGGAATCTTCAAAAGCAAGCTGCTGAAGTGCTGAGGCGGACACTTGAAGAGTTGACAGGAATCCCATGGGGTGTTTGACCCACACACATTCACGCAAGCACCGTGGTGTTTGAATGATAGAAATCACCGTTTGAAGTCTGAAAAACCGAATTCCGATGAAATACAGTGAGTTGCTTTGTGATCGTCATGAAAAGGAGACAACAAAAGTGGAAAACATATATCAAAACCTTCTTGGATTAACCTGTGGATCCGAACAGTTCTCGACGATTTCATGCTTTTGAAACAAGGCACTTCTTGGCAATGTTCTCCTGCAAGGTTTTTCGTCTGTCCCCTTTGTGGAAGGCCAGGTCCACCTTGCCCCAATGGAAAAAGCCATCCTGACACTGGTGTCGCTGATGAATGCAGAACTCGACTGCGCACAAATGAACAGACGATGGAGTTTGGGGTGGGCCCGACGTGTTTGATCAAAAGCAAGCTGCTGGAGGCTGATTAGAGGCAAATACGGATGAGACAAATCTTTGTATTAGCGTTTTGCACACCACAGAGCGATTCCACTAACAACCTCTCGGGTCGCTCACATGGCCACAGTCTGCAAACGTTTGGTTGGATGCGCTGTGTTTTAGACAATCTGGCAGGACTAGATGTCCATCCGGGTGCTTCGGAGAACCCCACATGCGGTCCGAACAAACAGAGTTTGTTGTATATTGCACTCAGCCAGCTCCTTTTTGGGCCAGCAATCCGAAGGTTTTCGGTAGTGGTATGTATATTATATATATATATATGTGTGTGTTTTTACCACCAGACACAACCAGCACCATCCTAGCCGTGCCTAGGAGAGGTCCCAATTGAGCAATCCAACCATTCAGGATTCACCGACCGCTTCAGGTCTGGGTCGTCACTCCTGTGGTTTGCCACTTAGTCTGGTCTAAGATTCCCGGAGTGACGCAAGGCTTGGGGAGCGAGAAACCTGTGGTCTTCCAAGGGTACATGGCCAAGATTGGTTGTATATACCCAGCACAATGTTCAGCAATGATTTGTTGAGGCAAGCTTAGGAAGTTTCAGCTGTGTTTTGTCAAGATTCATACTTGAAGGTCAAATCAGCATGTCGCATGGCAAACTCCCGGAACTTCTCTTTGATGGCCGGTGCCTCCAAAACAGCAAGTCACACGGCAGGAGTGCGTTTCGGGACAAAACTCCGGATGTTTCTTTTGAAGTAAAGTACAAAGACGGTTATCCAAATAATCCTGACACGGCATATGTTTTGCTTAAGCCCGCGGCCCTGCCTCCTTACTCAACTAAGTGGGCGCCTACTTAATGAAGTAAGGGAGAGGTAAGTTACTAGCAATAAGAAGCTACTACCTACTGGATGCAGGATAGCTCACACTTCTTCAAGGAAGCTCTTGGGGCCCTTGAAGATTTGAAAACTCTTGCACACCCCCGAATATGATGCCCAAAACATCCCAAAATCTAAAAGACCTAGTACAAGTAGTTGGAAGCTACAAGTAGGAGTGCTGAAAAGACACCATGTCCAACCCGATTCAAATGCACGTGCGGCCCATGCAACTTAAGTGTTCATCTATTGTAGGGGTATGTTTAGAGATTGCCCAACTGCTCAAATCATGCTGCCCAGTTGTGCATCCCATGCAAAGCGATGCCGCTTCACCAGTGGCACGCGTTGACCACTTTTGTAACTCAAAGGGCCAAGTAGTGAAGCTGAGAATGAGACAGTGTTGGTCTCATGAAGTCAGCTCTGGATCAGTTCCATTCATCGAGTGCGCACACGGAAAACACAAACGCAAGTTTTTGAAACAATTCCAAAACGCTTTCCAAAATTGGTAAGACTGCAAAAAGGAAAACAGGGCTACTGGAATGCACGTGACAATGCAGCAGGTAGCTCCAACGAGGCCTGTTTTGCGGCGTGTTGTTGCTGCGAAGTCAGCAAATGAAGTTGTTTCGAGACTCGACCATGTTTGGCGTACCGTCTGACAGACTCAAAAGATCCCCAACATCCTCTCTGCTGTATATCTTGAAGAGTATGGTGAGACATCAGGTAGTCATGGCTCGCGCCGCCATGTCTAAGACAGTGCGGTGTAAGCTTTAGCTTCTGAATCTTCAGATTTCAAACAGAGTTTTTGAACTGTGTTTCAAATTGCGCCAAGGATAAGGGAAACAAGGCACAACCAGAAAGCTTGACATGCTGAGTGTAAATGCGGCCCAGCGAAGCGCCGATCCACTCTCGCCCAGGCGACCCCACCACCAGGCTGTCATTAAACTCGCCCACCTTGGAAGGAGGGAATGACATTGTCGGCCCGTCGGCGGTGAGAGTGCAAACACGACTCGGTCGGAGGTAGGTGTCAAAGGCTAGACACAGCAGCCGCAAAGAAGGGCAAACCACGACACAGCATGTCATAGGCTATCCAGTATGCTACTTCAAAAGGACAGGGGTCGCGTGATGAGCCCGGCTCCAGATTGGACCATCCCTTCTTGGCAGATTTAGTCATCAAAGGATAGTTGGTCCGACTTGAAGTGGGCCACATAGGATACACGATATTGCAATTCTGCAAGGCACAGGTGACAACATATTTAGAGCCACCATCCAAGAACTGTTGTTCAGCAAACGCTTCCAGCGCAGAGTCAAGTTGATGCACGCTAACAAACTTGCACTTGTCTGAAGGGAGCAAAACAGCTGAAACGCAGAAATGTAGGAATGTTGACCATGCTTCCTCACATGTTCGTCTTGTTGCTTTCATCTGGGATACCAAACCCCTCAGAAGGCAAAGCAAAGGCATCTTGGAATGGTCCTGGTGCAAATGCATGGCTTGCATCTTGAAAACTCATGCCACTTATGTCCGACATAGCATCACTAGCTACATGGTGGACAGTTGACAAACATGGGCTAGGCAGACCAAAGGCATGTGGGACTTCTTGTGTAGGAAATGCATGACCTGTATTGTGGACAGGTGGCCCACTTGGGCTAAACAAGGCAAAGGCCTCTGACACTGGATTGGGATGCATGCTCAACACATCAGGAGCTGGCTGCTGCACAAAAAAAACTCCTGCACTAAAAGAACCAGGGACTTGCCAATGCGAGTGGGGCACAAACACTTCATGCCCAATGGCTGCTGGCAAGTCTGCATCATCTCCTATGTCCATGACTTGTTGCTGATGCTACAAATAAAAAGACACTTGATTTGTTTTCATGCCTAGGTTTCCACACAGCTGCTTTCAATTTCCTTAGGCTGACAACATTGTCATATGAAAGAACCTTATCCAGTATCCACACTTGTGTTTGTTATTTGCTACCTCAGCTGAATGCAACAAACAGTCCAAGCAGTCCAAAACAAAGCAACACACTCCAAGGTGCTGGTCATTGATTCTTGCATGCAAACAAGCATGGATGAGCCTGCAGCACAGACCTTCTTTTTTCTCACACAGACAGCTTGCCCCTCTGCTATCTATAGTGTGGTCCTTGGGTGTTTCCCCTACATGTCCACCCCTGAACAAACAAAGCAGTGAACTCAACCACACACATGGATGCACACTATCTTTAGCCAGGGCACCCTCTTGAACTCATCATTGATCATATCAAGGCTGGTTGGACTGGGTGGCTGCCTGAGTTTGATGGTTTGGGTAGGTTTGGCAACCTGGTTTGCCAAGTAGTAGCACCAAACCACCTACCACTCTATACTATAGGTCAGGCTACAGTCTCATCCCAATAATGGATCCAATCTCCCACCACTCCAGCACTGGTACAAGTGCAGACCTTGCAGTCAGTAATCAACACCTTCACCATAACATAGGGATACATGGAGATATCCACACCCTCAAAAGATTGGAAGTGCAACAGTACTTCACTAAACACTTCACTTAAGACATGAACAATTGCCAGGCTTATAGACATGGTGCCAACCCAACAAACACCTAAGCATACAAATACATAGAGATATCCACACCCTCAAAAGATTGGAAGTGCAACAGCACTGCACTAAAAACTTGAAACATGAAAGGTTGGCAGGTTTCCAGCTTCACCAGCCATTGCTGGTAGGCAGCATCCTTCTCATAGAGCTCTTGCATGTCCACCACATACCTCTCTGGAGAGGGGCCCTTGACAGCATACTTCCCATTGCTGTAGAGTTTCACACATGGAGCATCTTTGGGCCACACCAGCTTGGGCTGTCCACCTTAGCAATGAAAAGCTCAGAGTAGAAAGTTAATTGTGGTTGTGGCATGGTGCAATCAGCTGGTTGCCCCTGACCCAAACCTTGCAATACTCACACTTGTGAAGGTTTCAAAACATTGCTGATGCCTGCGACCAGGGAATCATCTTTGCATAGCAACCACATGTCTCCTGCTTTGGAAAGCTCAACCCAGTAGAGAGGCCTGCTGTCATGAGCTGGGTTGCATTCAGGAGCAGTCTGACCAGCCTTGGCAAACACAGTGCCCAAAGGCAGCAGTTGCTGCCCACAACAACAATATGCTTGGAGTTCTGTTCTTTAGAAGTGGTGCGCAGCTAGATGTCATGTATTTATATGGGCTCTAACCCCACTCCACCTTTTGGTGATTTTGCAGTCTACTTTGAAACTATGGTAAATGGTACCACCATCCAAGACATGTCAAGGAAATTATTGGCACATACCCAATACATGTCAAGGAAAATACAGTATTGGCTCATACATGTCAAGGAAGCCATTGGCAAACAGTAGCAACAGAAGGTCCCATGTGCCAGGTGAAAGGCATACACCTGTCCTCACCCTGGAAAGAAAACACTCAAGTACCTTTTCCTTTGGCCTTGCACAACTACATAGGCACAAGAACTAAGCCTATGTAACACATTACACTAATATCAACATCCATATCTTCTTTGTGGTGTTTGGTGATGTCTTGTACACAACACCCAAGTACCTTTTTCCCTTGAAATTGCACCACTGCATAGGCAAAAGCACTAAGCCTATGTAATACATTACATCAATATCAATGTACATATATTCTTTGTGGTGTGTGGTGGTGACTTGTTTGCTGGACACTGGTTTTAAACCCTTTGGCAAACCAAGCTTCTCCTGCAGGCCTTCCACTGTACACATCCTCCCACCCATACTTCATTGCAACAGCTTCCTGAGTTGCAAAAGATTTGCTTTGTATCTTTGTATTGCAAGTATAAAGCAGCATGTTGTTTCACTATTGCAGCACACACACAGCATTTCACCAACAGACTAACACTCAAGGTGCAACTAGGCCTCTATGTTGCTGTAGTCAGTGTTGACCTCAACCAGCCTGCTCTTCCCACCATGCCTTGCTCTGAATCTTGCAGCACTCTCCACAAATTTCTCCTTCCTTAGATTTAGATGGGAAAGGACTGATGGGATACTGTAAGGAATGGCACCACAAGGATTGATGAAACAATACC